ACGTCTAAGATATTGTGCGTGTGCTTAAATGCAGTGGTAATTGGAATGAATAAGAAAGAATAAAATAAAATACTTACTTGTAAGCAATAATAGCAAAATGCAGATTGATTGGATGCTCATACAACGGGGATTCAGCCTTCATCCAACGTTTGAATGCCTCTAGCGCATCGCGATCCTCAAGCACATTCTCCAGCCTCTGTGACCAACAGTGTCGTTCGTCCGGCGGAGCCATTTACGGTTTTCAATAATTAAACAGTCTATTTCGTTGACAATATGGAGGACCGTATTTGGTAAGTTTTAGACGATAGATGTTTGTTAATAACGTCTTAGAATAACAATCCCACATGCACAAACTCACTTCCAACTTGCACCCACTCTGAAGAACGCTCAGCGCAACCGCCCCTCGTTTCGCACTCCATCCCACGATCCCCTTTCATCTTACCGACATGCTCTTTTATCTTGCCGCCCACCCAATCCTCTCTCGACAGCCATTCTCTCGTTTTGCTCTTCCAACGAATATTCAATTACGCGCCAGTTCAAATACTTGAAAATGATCAAATTCGATTCCGACTTCTGTTATATAATTTGAAGTTGGATTGGGAGGGAATGTTTTTGTACCTCATTTAGAGTGAATGGGAGTGAAGAGGTCAGGCTGAGTCCCAAATACATGCATCGTATTACTGCTCTCTTCTTTTACCAGTGAATTTTCGATTTCAGTAGTTTTACAGTTTTTCGGCGATCGCCGAAGTTCATCCGCACTTTTTCGGTCGAAAATTTTTGAAGGAAAACCGACTTTCAGAGTTTGCGACATTGATTTGATTGCACACGAAAATGCAGTAAAATCTCAAAACCCATAACAAATAAAATAGACCACTTCCCAAAAATTAGTGACAAATGGTGCGTTGTCATATGAACGGTTTTGATACTTCAAGATTCTTTTCGTATACACTCGAGATGATTGTCGCGACCCGTCAATTTTTATAATGCAGTCACCTATTACTTGAATTTAATATTAGTTCTGATGTAATCCTTTGAAATGTGATATGACCTGTAATTGCTAAAATCTTGAAAATTTCGCAAGCAATATTAGACATTTCCTTTCAAAATCGGATGCGTCCAAGTTGCAATACAAAAAGCAAACAGCGAAAGACTTCCTTCTACGGTAAGTTTTAGCCTATGCTCCGGGATGAGCCTCAGTCTAGGTCTCATCCCTCTGCCTAATGCAAACGCATAAATTTGTAACAACAAAGGTAAAGTAAGTTGACGCTGAATGTCAGTGCTACGTTATCATGTTGAGCAGTTAGTCATGAAATGGATGCTAAGGTAGATTATGGTGAGTTTTTGTTCTGAAACCATTCCATGAGAATTTCTTCACTTGTCACCCAGAAATCAAACGAATAAAACAACATGAAATAATCTGATCAATTCGTCGCGTAGCATCAATGCTGCAGAAAATATAGATATATTTTTGTGGTCTCATCCAATTTGCAACATTCGTTTCTTTCGAGATAAAGGGTTCTTGATTACTTGCTCTTAATAACCCAACTTTTAATATTCGTTAAGATGACTTTCATGATTGATTCAAATATAAAACCAACGTGTACATATTTTCTATCATTTTTTCAATAATAATAATAATATTTTATTCGCATGTCAATATGTATAATGTAGTACAATACAATACATTGATGTCTTCGAATTCTAAACGGATACTAAATAATTATTCAATTATAATTGATCCTATGACAGGCATTTTCTCCTCAGTGCACAACTCCGATTAACCTTAATTGAGTTCATTGTCAACAACCGATTTCTCCTCACTTCACCATCTTTGCGGCACAATCATTTGAAGATTTCCACCAAATTCTTTTCCAAGCACAAATTTTTTTTTTCCATTTTTAATCATCAGTTCAACGAACAACTCTCATCGATCATCTTCAATGAATTTCTGGATACATTGTAAATCATGTGAACTTTTGTGCTCATCGTCCACATTCCGCCATTCTTTTGACACTCTATATTCAAAAAATCTTAATAATTGTTCAACGAGCTTTCTCCAAGAACCGCGAATCTTCAGTATGTATGCTCATACACGACGACAACTCATACCGCATTAAGGAATTCATTCACCTGTTATTTATAATGTTCATTTTTGGCAATTAAGGCCAGTGCTCTGCACCTTTTATGTTCGTTACGTTCAGCGGTTGTGTGCTTTGATGCCTGTCTGCTCGTATTTGGCATCTATTCAGGAGGCATTCGGCGTTGTCGTAAACGGACAAATGGGCGTGTTCCAAAGCAGCATAAGGACAAAGAGAGCAACGCGCATCAGCGCTTTTGGTATCACCAAAAACAGAGGAGAACATTTGACGAATTTGGTTGGAGAGAGCACATATGAGCGATTGAAACATCGAAGGGAGCATTTGGGCGGGTTGAAGAAGCACAATTCTGAGCTGTGCACACACACACCTCAAGTGATCTGCGGTGGGGTGAGTAGTGAGTGCGAATATGGTGATGATCCCTTGTCAATATCAAACTCACATAAAATATTGTTGCACAACAACGAATAGTTAGTTAGTTGTGCTCTGGCAAGGGCATTGGATTAAAAGATCCAAAACGTATATCTTCGATTTTCCGAGCAAGAGTTCCATCATACCGTAGTGCCACCTTATATATGCACGTGTCACTAAATTTCATTAATATTTTCACTTCAGCGAGGTGATATCTGAAAAAAAAAATTCAGCACGATCTTCAAACTGAGAACGGTTTCTGAAAGGGATTTTCGTGCGCTCTAAAATTCACCCCATTATTGCATATGATTTACCATGAAATGAGGTTTGGAAAACGCCAAATACTTCAACTGACAATGTTTCAATCGCATCAGTTGCTCTCTCCAAACACATTTCTCTTCTATTTCTGGTAATGTGAAAACCGCTGACGCGCGTTCTTCTCTCTCTGTCTTCATGCTGCTTTGATGCACGCCCATTGTGCTGTTCGACCCAAACCGAGGCATTCTACGATCATTTTTGCGTTCTTTCATCAGCCGCGTTGTACTCGTTGCGGTTAGTTCATTTTTGATGATGCACTTATCGTACGGTTAATTTTTTACGAATTCTCTATTGTTGTTCTCTTTTGTTTTAGTTGGCGACTGTTACTTCAAATTTCAATTACAATTTTTTTTCTGCAGTCACATTCCGCGCATTTGTTTGTTTTGCCGTAATTAATGACAACGATGCCATCATTATGTGAATGAGCAACACTTGAGGATGGCTGTTGGCTAACTTCATTACGCATGCAACATAATATGTAACGCTGAAGCTTGAGAAATGACTAATTGGATCGGAACTGATGTTGTTAAGAAACAGTGGGTGCAATTTCGAGAAGTCTTGTGTCGATTACTTTTTGAATTTTATTATCTGAAAAGCCAAATTCCGTCTGAAATGAGTTGGCGTCTGAAATTCGAACTTTCACATCCAGTCGTACAAAAATATTTGCTTCAGATGGCTTCTGCTCTACCAAAATGCAAATTTGGAGCACGTTGTTATCGTAGGAAATACCCAAAGCATATGGCAGCATTTTCTCATGATGGTATCGTTTTTCCTGATGATCCAACTCCGGCCGCCGACTTATCCGACCAGGTTATTCAATGATCCGTATTCTCAATTTTCCACTTCACCGGCATTTTATTGAATAGCATGATCTCTCGTTCTCAACTTCCAAAACACAAATTGCGAATAGTTGTCTATTTTCGAGTGCATAAATTGATTGGTAGTGATCTGCAATGATTGCTTAATTCAAGGCGGAATCCAATGATAAAACTGATGGTGAACCAGAGCCGACGAAACGATCAAAGATGGAAATGTCATCTTTGACCTTCGAAGAATTGAAGGCAGATATCGGGGCAAAGTTCTTGGTCTCATTCACTTCGGAATTATTTCGTTTTTGGGGAAATGTGCTAGTTATTGGCGATAACATGGGCGTTGAAAATACTTGCGGTTCGTTTTCTTTGAGCATTTCTTGTTTGAGCATGACATTTAACATTTATNATCCAATTTCTTTCATCAGTATAATGCAATCAGTTTATTATTAAGCCTGACAATGAAAACACATGAAAATTAGTAAAAAGCACCCAACGGTATAAGGTGATTTTTGTCCAGCATCGCGATAGTGTTAGTGGTGAAGCATTCGTAATGAATAATTTCATTTCAGAGGTGTTCGACGAAATAAAAGGTCTTCGTTTGGTTGGTGTTTTCGACTATATCTCCAGAAAGTGTGAACAGCAACGTACGAATACGAATGGAGTGGCGAAAGATGATGAAAGTTATCTTGTGAAGGATCGTTTCGATACAGATCTACCAAATATGCAAACAATTGCCATCTACAACGAGGGTCGTTTCGTCTACTGGCGGTTCGTTACAGGACTTTCCTATTTCTTTATAAGTAAATTCATGCTCGTCAGGGTGTATGTGGTGATCAGTATTTATTTGTACATTGTATAAATAAGATTTATAAAAATCGCAAATGTAATTCAAAGCTGAAAGTGTTGCAAGCAATCTCCTTTTTGTTGTTCGAAAAGGGATATTAAAAGTGTGTATACATATTAGAATGAATGAAAAAATAATCCGTCATCAAGTAACGTTTCCATCAAGTAAAATAATTTGTCTTCATAGGATCCATTGCATGTTTCCAAGTTGCCCCAATAACTAGTAATAGATACGTGCTTAAAGTTTCCAGTTCTCTTTCTGTGTCTCATTATGTAATTCTGTTTTTGCGAGTCCGTTTCCAAGTGTAGTATCTCGTTCGCAAAAGAACAATGAGACGAACAAATGTTGTGAAGGAACTACCCGCAGAATTGAGAAGAAAGAACAAGAACACACCAAAACTGTTAATAGCCAGATTTTGCACAATAAGATAATGAATTCTGACCCGAACATCCTCAGTAGTATGCTATTTCTTTATATCACTAAGATAATCTGTAGCAAATACTTTCCGAAGTTTTTTTGGGGTGCAGTGAGGTGATTACAGAAAAATCACGATGTTCAGTTTTAGTGATACACCAAGTGATGCTCAACCGTTATTGGTTCACGTGAAACGAAAAGATAAACATTTTCCTAAATTGGAAATTGTCGGCTCTGATGACCCGACACATATGATTGCATTCCTCAAGAAAACGTTCGGTCATGATACGATGCCCAAAATTGATGATTATCTTGCTCAACTAACTGGTTTTCGCGATATGCATAAAAAATTCGACGTTGAAGGTTGTTTTTGATTGATATTTTTCATATAGTTCTTCCTGGTTTCTGACACTGCAAAACAAAAGTGTACGCGGAACTAGGAGGCAAAACTTGCTCTTTTTTAGTCGATTGCATTCGTTGATGTAGAAGTGATAACCGACCGTTCTAATTGTTTTGTCAGGTTACCTCGAGAAATATGATGGTATAGTGAAGAAGTTACGTAAAGAACGTTCTGAAAGAGCGAATGGCAATGCATCGCATGGCTTAGGAGTTGTTGTCGATGAAAAGTATAACGATCGTTCGAAATACGGTCAGGCGTTTATTCCGGTTATTTTTTGAGATTAAACAAATCAAATACGATAGCGACTTGTGAATTCACGAATGTGATTTTTGGATTAATAATACTGTACCAAGCTCCCGGATACGAAGTGGTATGAAAACAGATATGTACCGGCCAGCGAGCCGCTCACCGCATTAAAAAATTGAATATGTATTAAAATCAAAACAAATCGGATTTATTGCTTAAACATTAGTGATGGCAACCGAACGGAAAATTGACTCAGTCGACTCACATCCGTTTTCGCGATTTTGAACGTCAGCATTGATCGAAAAACACAAGATTTCCAGGGTCGGAATTCGCATCATTGGTTGATATAGCTTCTTGTATCATATACATTTATATTTACTCATTTATTTTCCTGATTTTTATCCATTTGTTCACTATTTCAGTGCAACTGCAACCATTTTTGGATGATGTAGTTAAGGATAAAAGACGGCTACTAACACTTATGGAATATGTTGAGGTATTTTATCTTACAATTAAACTGTTTGCCAAATCCTTCATTCGTCATGAATTCATACGTTCGCTGTGGTCGAATATCAGTCAACCTCAAGTAGTAATTGAAATTGGCATTACAACAAGATGTTTTGACAAATGCAAATTTTTCGAATTTTCATGTGTTGAAGCGAGATAATATTACGTCAAACATGCAATCAACTATTTATGTTGATGGATTCATTTGAAATTCGTATTTGACGGGGATCCATTGGGTTTGAATGTGTTCATCGAAGCAATATTCAAAGAAAAAGATTTACGAAAGTTGTTTGCGAGTCATTTTCGGTGTTCACTTATACAGTGATGTGATAGGTTTGAGCTGTTATCTGATTTTAGGAGAGTTTAAAGGAGAAAAGCAGTATTGGTATGGCGATGGAATATGGACAAGAAATGTTCATGTCGAATAATAGCTTATTTGATGAATTCGCGCTTACTACGTTATGTAAAGTGTATGGTGCACTTAAAATGCAAGTATTCCAGACTATTCTCAAGGAACACATGAAGGTCAGACGTAACCTGTTGAAACAGATTGAAGAAAGCGCCTAATTTTGATTTATCGTTTACTTCGCATTATTACTATTATTGTTACTATCACATCTTTCGAGTTTACATTATTCGGGTTTGGCTGTACAAGTATTATTGTTGTAATTGATGTCTGTTTTGTTCTAATAGTGTGCATGAAGCAAACAGTGGTTTGTTGTTTTGATGCCGATATTATTAGTGTATTCATCACATTCTGACACGTTTAATATGTTGCATCATTTTGGTTAACAATTAATATTAATGACTGATTTCGTTGTTTTTTGTTCTTTAGAACAAAATGGTTGCTTGTCGATCTCTAAAACAGCTGTTTAATTGCTCGTCGCTCATCAACAACTGTTTCATGTGATTGCTGAGTGGAACAGTTAAGTTGTTACTGCCATGCGATATCCGTAGTAAGAACACTTTGATGTCTTATTTCTGAACGCTTTCGGTGGTAATGATTGAACATGTAATCCTCTCATTTGGAAGTATTTTTTATTTGGCTGTTTGATGAGATTTTGCTTTTTGTTCCCAAAAAATTATGTTGACTTGATTTCATCGCTTAACAATAGATTTACGTGCAAAAATTTGGGTTGAACATCAATATTTGTTCAAAATTCTATTACGAGTGAGCTCGTTGTCATGTGCACAATTTCGTTTGCTACTAATCTACTCCTACGTTGATATACTTCCCTATTCATGTTGACCTCCTTCCCCTTTCTTAGTTTGTCTTCCTTATTTAGGCAGTATCTCATTTCATTCCAATACATTAACCGTTATGATGCAAAATTCCACAGCAGCATTATTTATTATATGTGTAATGAAAATAATGCACTTGTTTCATTAATCATCAATACAATATTATTGAATGGCGCTGTTGTACTAATCGCTTATTGCCTCAGGGTAACCGTTATGCATTATTTTATTTTCTTTTATCTGATTGATGATTCCGGTGATGGTGTTTGTAAATAGTTGAGATTTGTGGTCTTTTATATCTGTTGATTGTCGTCTTTATTACTGAAGTTTCAGTCATTTACTTATTCGATTGAGTGAATGGATAGGTTCGTTTTCATGCTTCACTTAATGTCCGATTATGTCCCGTTCTTGATATTCCATTCCAAAATCGATGCACGTTGTCTCAAAGCTTTTTGATACACTGCTTGATTTCATTATTCTCTCACCATTTCCAAAGTGATTAATACGTGTTTCAGTATGCATTTCCTAATTTCTGTCTTTTTTATCAGTCATAAACCTTGCAGTTCCTTGTGTACTATTCATGATCAGTTCCATAATGGATGAGCAACCTACTCGAGCCCTAATTCCTTACAAAATTTCACAGTTAAAACTAATTCCATCAAACATATCAACTCACCTGTCCGTGAACTTCTCAAAGAGTATTGTATTTGATTGGTGTCGTTCTTAATATTCCTTTGATTCCCTGAACTGCCTGAAAATGTGCTTTTACTGGCCTCGTCGATATCTTCTATCTGTCTTGATCTCCATTAGTGATGATGTTTTATGGTTTCTAGAAGCTACGACGATAATGATGCCAGTGTTCAAAGGATTCATCATTTCCAGGACGGCTGGAGGGGAGTACAAAAGTGAAGTGTGAGTGGTTTTGAAGGTAGAACCTGGAAATGAGATATTGCAGTGCAATCTCGTAGTCGGAATTTATGTTTGTTGCATTGAGCAGTTCATCTTCAATTGCATTGAACCTGTATTGTGAACGTGCATATATGTTGAATGAAGGTCGTCTTTATGTATTGTTTTATCTTTTTGAGGTGCTCTACTCTCGAAGAGTTTTTCTTTAAATTTCATTTATTCGTGTTGAACCGGTTGGCTGGTGATCTCGACTCGTGAAACGTTATCCTTCTAAGAGCATTTTCTTGGTCCGCTTCGCAAATCAATTATCGTCTGTATCGTATAACGAACAAAGCATGAAGCATACCATATCATCACTTTATCTTTTGTTGTAAATGATACGTTTTTTGGTTATTATTTCTTTGTATGTTCATTCTTGCTGTGAATATTTGATTGATACTAATATAATCATCAGCCCATCTGTATGCATTTTTTTTTTGGATTTCTTCGCCTTTTGCATTTATTGAAAGTTTCTTTTCATTAATTGTTTAGCAACCAAACCGTCATTTGTTCTTGTTTAAAATCATCTTTCATCATTTTCATTTTATGCAGTTGTTTTTTGTTCTCAATAAAGGTTTTTGTTTAGTTCGTTTTGTTGATTTCAATACAATGATATCGCTTTCTTCACATTCATAATCGCCATATTGGCAGTTCAGTGCAGATTTTGTGTGGATTGCTCGTTTCCGCGGGATCAGCGTAATACTAGTTCCGTCCACTTGTTTGAAGACATGAACCAACAATTTATTGAATATCTGTTTTTGAACGTATGAATGGATGGACAGTTAAAGCGGATCGAAGAATCCACTTGTTTGAAGTGTTTATCACCGCTTATCAAATTAAATTGACCCATTAAAGTGCAACACAGTGTATAAAAGTACAAGTACAACGAACGATCAAATAAAATATTGAAGCGAAAATTCGTAGTATTTAAATAGTATAAAAGGAAGTTTGTTCCTGAAGAAGATGCACAGGTATTCGAAGATGAGAATGTGTAGAAAGAATGATTCAATTCAACGGTTCGGTTGTCTGTTTTGATGCGTAACTCGCTCTGAAATGTCGGTTGTTGCCGAGCGTTGCTGCACTCGGTGTAGCGTACTCTCAGCATTCGTATAACGTACCTGTGCGAATATTCATTCATTCGATAACTGTTCACAGTATGTGAAAACAACGAATTTCACTGCATTAAACAAGCAAACCTCGTAGGCATTTTGTGGATAGTTGGCATCGTTCACTATGCAACTCGAGTCACCGATCTGCGCTGTCCTCACGTGATATGGAAAGTTTGCATTTGCACTCGATGGCCATGTAAGCATCTAATATGAACATAATTACGATCTACGAGTAATATAAATGCGATCAGAATAATCATAGAGTAGATCACATCGGCAATATTTAGAAATAAGTGCAAGCCTCAGGATGAATTTAACAGCAAACATAATCTCCCCTCCCTCCTCTGATTATGAGTATAATTCAAACGAATGAGGCCAAATTCAATTCAAGTGATATCTGCCATACTACCTACACAAAGGTTATAAATGCTATTTTTGAACATTTACTCAATCGTGCGATTTGATACTTATTTGCATCATTCAAATAAATTAGCGCAAGTAGAATGGAATAAATTTTCAAGCGGAGTTTCAGTTCGCATACCATAAAGACAACGTAACCGTAAGCGACAACCACACAATCCACCAGATTCACAATTTCTTCTCGGACCCAATTATCCAGTAAAAAATTCGCTATTACCACACTGATCGGATTCATCCAAAACCTTAATGAATACCACGACTGTATGGAATGTAATGACTGTTAAAAGCAAGTACGATGCTTCCCAAATATGATGCTTCCACTCATTGTGGTCAAGATGACCGCATGAGGAATGCTCAGTGTTCAGCTTGAGCTCAAATGATCAGCGTAGAAATGATGTTTCACGTATAATTACATCATAGAATACTGGTATTTCATCATTGTAGCCAAAAGTTGATAGAATAAAATTACTGTATCATCGTTTCTCTTAAGCTGCGCTTTATGAAACTATTCAAATAAAAAGACAATTGAATACTTATTCATGCTGCAGAAAGGTGGAAATTTCTCCTTCCAGATATCCAAATTTTTTGCGTCCCTATTCGGTGATCATTACAGTTACTGATTCATAGTTTAAATTCATTGTGAATCGATACACTTGTGTTAGCAGTCGTTCTGCGATCATGCAGAACGATTCTCATGTAAATTCTTCTAATGCTCAATGAATGAATAAAGCTAATTACAATTGTTCATTTACCATAGAGTCATTAAGACAGAAAGAACGAAATAAAAATTTCGTTTGAGTGGATATTTTGTGACCGTTAGATAAGCGCTAGTGCAGTACCAAATCCATGCGACGATTCTCAAACCGATCACTATGTAACCGGGAATCGACTCCGACATATACGTTATACGTGCTGGATCAAACATCTAAAATCGCCAGCAAATAAACTCTTTCATCTATTTTCTTCAGTCGGATGGATGGATCTCTAACAAAGCGATTTAACTGGTTGCACTGCAGAACACAATAGAGCATTTTCATTGTGCAACATTGCTGCAGGAATTCAAAAAGTCGTTCATTTTAAAATGAATGTAAATTTTACGCGGATCTGCCAAATAAACATGGCCAAATATGTGACAATAAAGAGTGAAATCAAGGTCGCCATTTTCCATGCACCAGCATTCGAAAGACGCCCTCTTGTGATTGTATAACCTTTCGCTAGCAAAAGTAGTAAAAAGAGAAAAGATATTATAGCTGCAGCCCTGAAAATATTGTTGAGTATTGCTAGATGCTTCTTTGGAGGTAGTGTTGCAAAGTTTAAAAGCATAAAGCTGTTCTGAGGGAGGCATAAATTTTGACAGTTTGACAATTGATAACAAGTGAGTTGAAACCTTTTAATGATAAATCGTCTTTATTTCTTATTGGTCTATTGTAAAGCACTCATCTCGTCACTATAACTCGCAGTTGAATTGTCAAGTGAACGTGTGCATAAAATATGCATGCATCACCAACTTAATCCAACCACTCGGATTCGCTTATTGATTGAGTGTGATGAATTCTTCGTTATGTTCAAAAATGTAAACGATTTCATTCGAAATGATGCAATAGCTACCGAAATATTTGACCAAGTAACTTGACGAAAGGCATTCCAATCCCATCCTGAGCATATCGACCATATGCTGCGCACATGAAGAACAGACCGAAGCATTCCAACACAATCGATTGCAAATAGAGTTTAAACGTTTGATGGAACAGATGCCGACTTCTTAGGATGCCTTAAAGTCATTATTATATCTCTTGGTAATTGATTTCTTGGTAGCGTATGTCATATTGTTTTTATTTATAGCATCCATGAATGAAGACAACGGAAAGATTCCTCGAAAATAGTTCATTACGAATTGACTTTATCGTAGGGTGAATTATTCCCTTCTGCCCAAAACCTTTGATTGATTCTGTTTCGTTCACGAACACCTTTTGTAAGCGATTGCTCTGCGTTGGGCAGTGAGTTAAAATAAATATGAAACTAACATGCAACTGCAATTGCAGTTAAAAGTGACGACGTTGAAAAGAGGAGAAAAATTATATCAACTGGAAGTATATCTGAAAAAAAAAATTCTTATTGCCGTATTGAAGCAAAAGCGACTACTGTGTAGCATTTTTTGGGCACACTACTGTGAATGTCGATTTCACTTTAGAATTTTAAAAATGAATTCAAGCAAATTTGAATTTTCGAAAGTTTTGTTCCAATTGTTGGCACTTTTCACGAAAAATTTATGGCAAGAACATTTAAATCAAATCAAAACGATGCTTATATGACGGCGCTAATTTGAAATTTAAAACAAATAAGTTTGTAAGTTTGTACACTTCAGGGGCAGGGAAACGGGCTTAGTGAAATCAACAGTTAGGCAAAAACAGTTGCAAGAAAAGAAACGAATAGAAGTTGTGTCCGAAAACCGATAAACAATTTGATGTATTTCTCATAAATTATTCGAGAAGTTTGATAATATCTTTGTTTTGAACGATATTTTAGAAAATTGTTGCTTAACATCATCGGTTTTCCATTACTACATAGATGTGTGAGTGATCATTTCGCTTTCATTGTGAGCACTTTCCGATGGAACAATTGAGCTTCACGTTACAGCATTTGCAAATAATCTTCAGCAATAAACACCACCACTGAGTATTCATTATATTATGACAAAGTATAAACCGATTCAAACAACTCAAATTCTCACAAAATTCGTCTGCTGAAAACTGATAAAACCATATCTCGTTTGGATCGCCATTCGTCATCGTAATATCATATTCCAAGTACAGACCTTTCGATGAGTTGCAGTTACCCAGCGCCAAAAACCACCATCGTGAACGTTTCGAACTGAATTGTGCTGTAGTTGCGGATGAACAGCATTCAAACAGAGGTAGATTTACATAGATTTTCAATAATTTATTCCGCACTGTGGTTAATCTAGTAAAAAGGTGTTAGTACATAAACAATAATTAAAAATTGACGATCATTCAGTGTTGTGCTCCACTTGAAAAGACTAAATTTTGTTGCTCTTTAGCGTTTATTGATCAACTTCGAATGTTACTCACATGAATCTTCTATTGCCCTTACAATGAAACCAATCTTCGTCATTGCGTTTAAGAATTCGACAAGTCGCAATGCTATCGATAAAGGGTTCGTATTTTGTGAGATGTATTTGCTGGTTGTTGTTAGGGTCGAGTATATTCGCTTTTTCTTGACAAGTCTGGAACATTCAATTCGATTCGCCATTTCATCTGATGTCAATTTGTGCTCATTGAAGGCCAATGCGAGCACGACGCTTACATCTGGCTCGCTTATGTTAAGTTGCCGTATTAAATGAGCACATCATGATATTCTAATTGCTTACAATGAGCACATCACGATATTGCTTACAATCTTGCGAATTATTTAAATACCTTTTCTCCCCATTTTTATCTATGCAATGCTGCGATTCTAAAAAATTTCTGGTCGACAACAATCATCGCATAATCTTAAGTTTTTATTAAATTAAATTTCAACTACAGAATGATTTTCCAACCAAATTCGTTTCGTATACAGCGTTCCATTGTGATTCTGTATCGTAATATAAATATAACGTTTCCACTTGATAAGTCTGAAATGAAATTATGCAATAATTCAGACGAAAATCACGCTTCAAAACAGATATAATGTTTTATCCTTAGGTACAACGCCAAACCAGCAACCAAACTATCAAACTGACATAAACAATCTTCTTTGAGCTGGATTTCAAAATGAAAATCATTTGTCTAAAAGGTATGAATGAGATAAATCAATGTGTAGCAAACCACTGGATAACTGAGGATGTAATGCAGATTCCCAATTTCGGAGACAAAGCAGAAGCGATCGATGTACTCCCAACTCTAAAAGTAACTGAATTTTGATCTGCCAATTGACTGATTTGATTATCATCAACCAGAATCAGCCGAAGTTGTAGATACCTAATGAAATTCATTGAGCTTTCATTCTTGGTTTGCGATAGATAATGTTGGTAGGATTACTCACCTCATTTGAAATCAATGTTCCATAAGATTTCTTACATTCAGGGCATTTGATTAGTAAACAAAGAGTGAAAAGCACGAAGAAGGCGTTCATTTGCAACGCAACATTCTTCGTATAATATAGATTCATGTAGAAATTGCGACACCAACGATTCAATACATCATTGCACGCCTCAGAATCATTCAACTTCAAATAAAACTTTTATGCACAACCAAAATTTGAGCCTATATTCTGTGTGAGTGCGTACCAAATATAAAATCAAAATTGTCTCAGTTCAGTCTTTCAATTGATGTTGATTAGTTTTAATACATTCCACATCAAACTACTGATTCCAAGAAGTAACCATCTAATATGGAAGTCAAAAATTTAGATGTTTTTCACTTGGATGGTGGCTGATTGCATTTGACAACAAAGCTATTTTAATATTACATTGGATTCAAAAATGATCAAGGATGCTTGCTCGAACTTGAATGTAATTCGCAGCACGTTCGTTAAGTTTTTACTAGAACAATTAAACCGAATACCGTTTCAGAACTGCATAGAATTTTGCAAATTTGGATACCATTTGAATGAGACAGATTGCAAGAATCAAAAAAGAGCACATAATAATATCGAATACAATATTAATCATCAGGTGCGATTTATATAAGTTAAATATTATGCCAAAGAAGTACACAAAATGAGAATTATTCAAAATTTTGCAATCGAATCAACAATAACAGTAAATGAGATGAACGTTGGAAGATAATAGAAACTTTAAATTAGAAACATTTATCTATGTTTTGTTCTGTTATAATCAGAGAACTTTATAACAAATATGTGAATAATAATGAAGTGATTGAGATCAACAGCTTTTTCAATAATTTCACATCATATTTGTTCAATTACAATTGTTTCATGAAACTGGCACTAACGGTATCAATCGAGACGTGTTGCGATAAACTGCAATTAGTAAACGAATGGCAAGCATCATCACTTCAAAGCATTTAATTGGCAAGGTGGCAATTTTATGAAATCGCGTTGCTATTAGCAACGATCCGATACAATAAGATAAAAGTTTCTTTCCATATGAATTGTCAAATTCGTAAGGGTTGTACGCGTCTAATATGATAATTATAACTTATAAATATGCCGGTGTATTGCGAATAAGATAATCGTTATTCAGTCAAATGAGCTGATATCTGATGACCGATTAAACCCATCACAAAATTGATACAAGCTACGAATAACGATATTCAATAGCCATCGACAAATGATGTTGGATTAACTACGAAAAGTTGAAAAAGCATTCACATATAGATAAAAAATAAAAGACGAAAGACACGTTGTTTGAAAAACAATAGGAAAAAACGAAGGAAGCACTAGAATGCAACATAGTAACAATGCAGATGGAACGTAAAAGTATCTAAATTAGTATTTTACTCGGGAGAAAAAGTTCATCTGTTTCATAGGATTGTCGTCGATGGCTATTGAGCGATCATAATTGGTTGCTATCGAAGGTGAAGGAAAAACATAGTGAACGATAGGAGATGGTGAGTTCATTTCGTCAACAAATGAGCAAGCGATTATTCCACATATAAATGTAGCAGCGAGAGTATACTCGATAAAAACGAGTAGATAGAACGACGAAAAAGAATATTGATGAAATTAAAAATACGATGGAAATGAGAAAATTTCTTGTGTTATTTAAGATTGTATTAACGAATAACAGCGAATAAGTGCTGAGAACAGCACGATTCATGTAAAACAGTGAGAAAATTATCAGTTTCGCCAGAAATGCAAAATGGGCATGACATCAAGGAAGGAACTTACTCGAGAGTCTCTTATAAATTGTAAATCGCGACATTCGTGAGATTCCATTTTTTCCGTCACACATTATGCGTTCACGAGTGATCGCTAGCACTAGTGTCTTGACTACGAACTTAAAAATATTATATCAATAAGTAAAATTTGTATAACTCTATTCCATCAAAATCCTCTAGAGAAAGTTTATTGCATGGACACACTAATCGCCATGATTACAAAACATCTAGAAAACCGATTCATCGGCTAAGCAGAGACGTTAGCCAACAATTCCCTCACCTTGTACTTCTGACCATTGCCATTGCATATCGATATCGAACAGAGCAAAAATTTTCATTTCTCGACCAATTTATTACACAATTTCACGCTATTTTATGGATACTTGTCGAAGTTCCCACTTCTTCCGTTGTTCATCATGACCGAAACATTCGGTGCCTAGACTCATTAAGCATGCACATGTATCTCAGTTGACTTATCCAATCCAAATATTCCTTGCCGAAAGATTCACGCCATTCAGCTAATGACAACTTGTTCCTTAGACCACTGCCGAGCACTAATTGAATTTTTGAAAAATTCCACCTGTCAGCTGTCCCATTCGAACTAATTAATACTGTATCATTTTACAGCACCACTTCCCATGCCACAGGAATGAAAGCATTAGATCAAAAAGAATTTCGTGCTGTAGAAAGTCTTGTTGTAAAACACTCTCTTAGGCTCGATACTAGTTACATTCATTATTAGTTCATATCATCCACTTAAATTTGATGTTACGATACAGACGAGGAAAGTGTAGCCAAAAAACGAATTTATTACAACTTAAATGTTTTTATAAATAAAATGATGACAACGGATTACAAGCCCGAATAACAAAAAACAATTGGACGATATAGCCAATATTACAGAGAATTACGAATAATGCAAATTATTTCAAAGAAGAAAAGAGGAAATTGAAAAATACTAGTTTACAGAGAAGAAAAATTGAAACATCGAATAAAATTTCAAAGTGCGAAATTTCAAACGTTCAATCACAATAATTTAAGAAGTTCAAACAGTTACAAAGTATTATGGAGTAGGAAAAAATAATCGAAATTAGACTGTTATGATGCCGGACGATCTACTGGAATATAAAAACGAGTAAAAGAAGATAACAGATCGACATGTGCATATGAAGAGTAGCAAAACGGTTTTATCGGGTTCAATTAACAAGAATGCTTAATGCATTTTGAACTTTACGACTATTTAATATCCGTCCACGAAACAATCAACAAAATTTCGAAGCGACCGAAATTTCATGACAGAGCATTATTTGACGTGACTGCAACACTTCTCTCGTAGAAAACAGTCTTCTCAACATTACCAGGATCGAAATCCAAAGTGAAAAGCAGATTCTTACGATCGCGATATAAATACACCGGTAAAGTGATTGCACTTGATGGACCTGGTTCACGTGTCCATGTTAATGCCACTGTATGCATTTCTGTACTTACATCATCAACGACCGCTATTCTATTACCCTTCTTGCATTCGGCACCCATTACACGTAGTCCTTAAACGTTCACTTTATTTTCAAATTATCGTGAAACTTTCTCATATTTCAGATCGTAGCAAAATGAATTTCGAATATTCAGATGAAACAAGTACATCCCGAAAAATCAATTCCGAAGAGATATTACAACTTTCAAGAGAAAAGAGAATAATGGACCTTTTATTTTGAAACTGTCAACTTTGTCCTCATCAACACCCACTTCAATACGCATATTCAACTCTTCTAATGACCACTGATTTGATTGTGCCACCAGCTGTCGAGTTGCTGTGATGAACGCTTCTGGCGAGAACATACCACCAAGCCAAACAGTCTCCTTCTAAATGTGTAATATTCATCATTAGCAATGCAAATTGACAATACTTGTTGTCATGTTACGATTATTTTCTAGTAACAATTATGCCGAGCATAAAACCTTGAGCGCAGGAGAATTTGCGAATTTGCTCAGTTGATTGACACGTTCCCCAAAGTCGTGTATCCAAGCCATCACAGTGACACCTTTCGGTACAGTATATCGTAGCCAGCCAGTTGGTACAACACCTTTATTCAACGCTGATGTTAAGGCTCTTGTATGATTGTTTTGCTTTTGTTCACCTCTGCATACTGCATGAACCTGAACACAAATACATTCATATGCATGAAATAACAAAATTCATTAAAACATCGTTATAATCAACGTTTCGTTTTGATATATGAAAACAAAGATCCTGATCTTGTTTTGAGAGAACGCATTAAGTGCGTTCTCTCAAATAGTAATAATGGGCAAACAAAACAAAACAACAATGATGAAAAGCGATAAATCATCTATCAGCAACCTCCTGTAAATCAGCTCTTACGTCTGTGAGAAGTAATATTCCATGATTAATTTCACGTTCAAAGAAGCGGAACAGTGGATCTTTGATATTATCAACTGTTCGCCTCATTTTCGTAATACTCTGAAACAACGATAATAATTAAAATTTGAAAAAAAATGATGTTGTCAAATCAAATTACATTTTACGCTCAGATGAATCTTTCTTTCCCAGCCAAAAATATTTACGCAGCATTGATATGGCTTCGCAATGATGAACAGAATTCACAGAAACAAAGCCATATTTACTACTTATCAGTACATACACAAATAAAAAACGACAAAGCTATTAAGAAGAACATCTTCTATACTTTTGGTAGCATCTTGAGCCACTGGGAACTTTGTTCAGCCAAGATACTCATCCATGGAGGTGAACGCACTTTCTGATCATCACCAGCGAATGCCAGCTCTTCATCAGACACTTTCAACAGATTTGCCAGCATCTCTTCACCTTAAATTTCAATTTCCTTACCGCTTTGTGCATACAAAGATTAAATGAACTACTCATTTACTACTGCTCACTTCACTTCAAAACGCTGAAAAAGAATGATAGACGACGAGATCAGCCGAGGTAACATACCTCTAACGGTGAGTAACACTTTCTCCGCGTTATTAGGTAAACCAAGCCAATTCGGTAATTGCAGCTGATGGATTTGATCAGCCCACATCAGTAAATGCTCTCGTGAATGTCCATCTGGTATACAAAGGTTTGCAGACTTGCCATCAATATTACTGATAAGCACTCGATCAGAATCGAACGATTTCGGTGTGAACAATTTCGCCAAGAAACAATCCAAAAGTTTCTGAAAATTGAATGATAAAATTCTAACCAATGAATCTGATCGAACCACTGTTCTCTTCTCTAAACACAACACTCAGCATTCATATGAATATGCAACAAAAACAAATGTCGACTGATACAAAATAAATATAACCTGATCAAATTCGTTATCGATTTTGCCACCATAAATGCACTGTGACAATAAGGTTTGCAGTGTATGCCACGGTAATTTTTCAGGTGAAACATTTGTTCGCCCCATTGCGATTGAATCGACAGCAGAGTCTAGTGTATCACATGCGACACGCAAATCAGCATCAGAAAACTCATACGAATTCGCCCATCCAAGCGGTGTATAACGCATTCGTTCTTGTACAAGCGCATGTAGCCAGCACATTAAGAAGTAGAGCCGTGTTCGTTCGGTTGGTGGTTTCGCCATACGTTGTGGAGCCAATGATGTTAACGACCGCAATAAATTGGCCTAAAACGTTCAGTTGATGGTTTTATGCTCGTTTTCATGCTATTCACCGCGATCAGAACGCCACTCAATTCAGACGCATTACGAAGAGAATATACAAAACTGTATTTTGTGAGATTAAAAAGAAGTTAGTGAAAGTACCTTGAGACCTGTAGCAGGTTCGAACACGACAACACGCGAAGCACGAAGAATTGAGGCTGGAAGTTTCGGGTGTATTTCAGCAGTAAGCAACAAACGGAATTGAGGATGTGGTTTAAGTGTATGCAGGCGTTTTTCGAGTTGAGTTAACCATGATGGAGCCAAATGAACATTTTTCAGAAGAATCCAACGACCAGACTTGGATGCTGAATGAAGCACACTGTCTGCCTGAGAGAAGCCTTCAGCCGAACCTGCAATTGAAAGTTTCAATATTTAATAACATGACCGTTCAACCTACGACAGTTGTATGATTGTTTCAATCTGATGAATGAAAAAATGTAAATTATATCAAACAAATGAACACAAAGAAGCCAAATGAGTAAAAGGCGAACCGATAGCAATTGAAGTCACTTCTCGAGCCATCTCAACGGCTAGATCCGCAACTCTACCGGATGCATCGTAACCAATCGCAGACGATAGAAGAACAGGACGATTCGATGATACCTGCAGTTGATTGAAGTTTTCTTTTGCGAAAATGAACGAATTTTAGAGAAGCAATAATGTTGACGTGCGCTGCTACAAATCGAATGGAAAAGATGGTGTGTACACAAAACTTACTTCATTCTCGACGATGTCGCGTAGATTGACAATTCTATCCTGTTGCATGAATTCAACGCCAAATGCGGATGCAACAAGTCGATGACAAGATGCTAACAGACGATCGGGTCTGAGCGCATGCACTACCAATAGTTCATTCATACAACGACTGATATTCGCTGAAAATTGCAAAAGCATCAGAGCGAAACATTTATAGACGTTATCAAATTATTAGGCATTGGAAAGCAACAGCGTAAACGCATATAACATACTCAATTTGTCATTGTCGTTCCAAACAACCGGAACATCGAATTCGGCATTATCTTGCGTTATCCAAGTAATGAAAGCAGAATTAGATTGAACATTTGTGATAATGTTACTGAACGCAGGTAAACGTGATAACTGAATCAACGCATGAGATTGTTGTAAATCAAGATTCGGCAGCTTTGGTATAGAATCAGCAGACGCCTTTTGTGATGAGAATACCTCTGAACGACCAAGCAAATGGTCAAGCTGAAAGAGTAAGAAGTGATGAACGAAATAACTTTTACAACAGCGAATTTTCTTGATAAACTTGTCATCAAATGACAATTCGTAATTGCTCATTAGAAGGCAAGTTCTGATGGAAGATGAATCAATGAATCAGTGAACAATGTCGTACTGATAAACACAAAAACATATCGCTTACCTCTAGTTGATGAGATGGCTCTTGCGCATTTCCTTTCAAGAGGATTCGCATCAATAGAATTGCTAAAAGTACTTTATCCTGATGCAACATGCCCTGTGACACACGACGATAAACCATCTAAAGAGAGCAACAAAATTATATGGTCACAACAAAATTACAACTTTCTGAATCATGTTAACTGCCCAATCTAAAAATCATTTCAGGTTAGCTAAGTTTGAAAATGAGCTAACAAATGAACTCCCGAGTAATCAGAATAAAACACTGAGAGTCAATGCAGGCAACAAATTAGATCGCACGTTACGATGGCCGTCATCAGAGTAACAGAAAATAAACAACCTGGAATAGACTTGAAGTGATAATTTGCAATCGTTTATCATAATCCGTAACAGATGAAAGCTGCGGTGTATTCAACACAGCGGTAAACATTTCCAACAAGAAGTCCAATGAATATTGATACAAGAAATGAACTTCATTCAGTTGTTGCAGCATCAAATAGATTAACGAACATGCTTGTGCTAATCGTGAATACTGCTGTGATACTGTCTCCACCTTGAATTTCATTAATGCAGTGATTTATTAAGTACACATGGAAGTGAGATAGATGAACTTCAGATAGTCAACTTTCTTAAAAGCGAAGTTCGATCACGTGGGCAACCAAATGAACTACGTCGTATCTTGTTAAGCTGTTAAAGTACAGAACAAAACTTGTTATTAAATCAACGGAAAATAACAATGAACGCTAAAAACTAATCAGGGCGGAAAATCACCTCTGCCATAACTTTATCGGTTTCTGCAGCTTTACGAGCTACCTCGGCCGCTTCTGTTTTCAGCTTCTCAAGTGTCGATATAACTGAATCATCATCTAAGATTTTTCCTTTGCTCTCATTCAGAGCTGCCAGTAGAGCCTGTAAATGTTTCACTCAAGCATCAGTAAGAGAAACATTACAGAAGCAACGCGAATACAACAAACCTTTTCCAGTTGTCTCAGTCTTACAGCGAATTCTCCTTGAAGTTTCAACAGATCGTTACGTTTCTCATCCACGTCAGGTCGTTCACTTCTGAGTGCTTGATTCAAACACTGCATTTCCAGTGAGGAACGTGTTACCGTGAAATTAACAAACGTCACACGCGAGCATACATCCGGTGCAAATTCAACCTGACAACATTATCAGTAAGAATAATAATCAATCAGATAGTTGAATCTGATGCTATAATAAAAAGTACATGACAAGAAATTATTAGAAAATTAGAAAGTAGCAGATGATGAAATAGAACAAAAAGATCTCACAGATGCATCGCGAGTGATGAGGAATATTTGGAACGATGGTGATAGATCGATATCTTGATCACCCAGAGTGATCAAAATACGACCACCAGTACGCTTCACTTCACGATTAAGCACCGGATTCAAAATAGGATCGTAACTCTCAACATCTTGCACTAGAAGAGCGTTACCGAAGCGAAGTGCAGACTCGAGATTCTTTCTAGAAACGATAAGCATAACCAACAGATTACTTCACATTGAACATGACAACATGAGAAAAAACGATATTCAAAGATGAAAACACTTATTTTCTTACTTCACTGCTGATCATTTTCAAATATCAAATCAAAAAACGTCTGCAAGTGAAATTCATCCCTAAAATCGATAAGAAGATAGCGAATTCTTTATTCGATTCAGTTGATTCATACGTTTCGATGGTTGAACAAGTCATGAAAATGGAACAGAGCAATGATCAAAAATACCAATCAACGAAAAATAATTCAATGAGGAAATATCCAATAATACAACTGATGAATGTGATTAAAAAGCATCAAATAACCTGAATGAATCGTCCAAAAAGCTCGTTTTAGTGATATTCTTTCCTTTGAACTGCTTCAACAGGAAATTCATCGCTTGTCCAGACGGATCAATGATAAGAGGATAACGATTGAATCTAAAGCACAATCAAGCACTAAATTTCCATATAAATTTACAACTGCTACAATAGCCTTTTTCGTATAATTCCAGAAATGAGAAACAATGGCTCGCAAAAGTATGTTATATATGAATCTTCGTCTTGAATTGTATGTACTGTGAGCTAACGACACCATAAGATGCTTTTGATACAGTAACTGAGCATAAATCATTAACCAATTTCCATCTATAAAAAACCGAGTTGAAAGCCAATCGCACTAAATATCCCTCCCCCTCCATATTTACGACGAATTATGAAAGATTAGGAAGCCAGAATACTTTCTACGCATAGTTTCTGAAAATAACTTAAACAAAAAATTGCCGACCTATGTAACATGATTGCATTTTCAGCACACAACTCATCAACCGGCAAACCATTCTTATTCCATTCAAGACGTTCATCCACTGATGACAAATATTCAACACGAGCCAAATCAGTACGATATTTGATGTTCGCATGTTGTACAAACGAAATCCAACGATGGAACAGAAGATCACGTAACTGCTGATCGTAATAACTGCAAATTGCTCGTAAATTTCCGTACTATAACCGATAAAGATTCTTCGACGAATCAATCGTTTAAATGACATTATACAAGTGTGCCTACGGTAATGATACTATCATATACCAAATTCGGTTTGGTGTTGATTCAGTGCATCGGAATGACATTATTAATGACAAAAACAACACATTTTCTGGCGATAATGTGTGAAAGGTCTAAGAAATTATAAGTAATCGTATGCTGTACAAAAAGAAATTAATCAGTTGTGAAAAGATAATCGCAAACAAGCAATGAGACGAACCCAGAATAAGACAGGAATGCAGCGCTGAGGAGTGCATCGCCGATGAGTGAATCCATCTGTTGACTGAACCCATCACATCCTCCGTGCCATCGATCTCGCTCTGAACCAAGACTCTTCAGCAGTTGTGTACTGCGACCAACCTAAACTCGATATCTTTTCTAAATGATCGCTTACAATCTAATACCCATCCAGAACTACCAAAAACAAACCTTTTCTTTAACAGTTGCTAAATCAGCTTTAATGGTTTCTGCTTGTCCAATAAGTTGAGCGTATTCCTCTTTATACGCAGCAATACTCTGCTCAAGTAGTGCGATTGTTTTCTTCAGTTCTTCACCTTTTTCGGTTTTCATCTTTGCATCTCTTTCAAGCCGTTTCAATTCATTACGCAATGGCTCAACTTTCATCAGCATATCCGAATATAACAGCTGTGCTTTAACCCATTTCACCATCGGACCACATGCAGATGATGCACGATTCACCTGAAGATGGTTAAGGATGACTTTTGCTTTCATAATTATACCCTTCGAATGACAGTTTGATATCATTCTATCGAGACTTAATAGGCAAACACGAAACGAAATGAGTTGAATCGAATGAGATAGACCTTTTCGAAATCCCAATCCGGATTCTGTGTGTATTTCTCCATGGCTTTCAGAATCTCCGGTGTTATACTATCCGTATCAAAACCCAAAATTCGAGGCATGAAATCATCTTTCACCATTACACCACGGATCGCCTTCCAATCCGTACCAACGTTCTTAAAATGAAAAATATCATAAAAGCGAAAAAGACAAACGTAATACAGCTGAATGATTAAGAAGTAATTCGAAAACAAAATAAGAACAGAGGACAAACCTCGCCAAGCAATAAACAAATTGATTCGAGAGCGAGTTTGACGAGATGGGGTGGTGATGCCATTGAACGTACTTCGACCAGTTGATTCTTACGAATTCCTTTCACGGCTTGTTGTGCTTCTTCAACTGCTGGCTCTACCTTAAAAGGCAGAAAGGAATGAAGCGATCATCTATTCACTGATATCCCACGAGAGAGGAATATTTCGATTTTTTTGCAATATCAAAATCTCCAGCGAAAGGTACACATTTCACTATTAATGGAACTTATACGTTTGCGATAATCCAGACATAAAACCGATTTTCTACTCCTTGAAAAATCGAGCATATTTTGTAGCAAATGCAGCAGAAAACGAAACTAACTGCAGCAAAACAAACCTGTGCAAGATCATGCTGCACTTCGGTACGTTTCTTGTCAATTTCAATCAGTGATGCGGCTAACTCTTTTTGCAACTGTTCACTTGCCTGTTTATCCTTCTCAGCCTTTTGTTGGTCTGATATCATTTCCTTAAACAAATAACAAAATCAATAGCACTTATCGTCTTCGTCACTTCATTTTAGAATAATTTCATAACAGAAACAATGCGACTAAGATTTAAATTCACTCAACAAAGAAAAATTTAAAAATTTAAAAATAAATAACAATTTTAAATGAACCTTCAATTTAGCATTCGCTGCACTTTTTTTCGCTTCCAATTCGCTACTCTTTAACGTCAATGATTTCTGCAGTTCCAGCACTTGCTCTTCAGTTTCTTTAATCTAAAACACGTAAAAACAAACGTTTAGTATCACGAAACACTTTCTAACGAATCAACAACAAATCATTCACACTTGTGACCACAGACCAACAGTTGAAATAAATAAATAATCGAACTGCTATCATTAATCAAATTTGAGTACAAACCTTACTAAGACCAATGTTCAAATGAAGCTTCTCCTCTTCCAAATCACGTCGTTTTTCATGAAAGACGTTGATATAATGCTTGATAAAGTCGAGGAAGTGTCGTGGCGTTATCGCCATCACACGATGACCACGTTTTGCTTCGGTTTCATTCAACTAAATTTTGAAATATTCAGAGAAAGAATATGCGAACGAAACAATAAATATAACAGAATGAAGAATTGACAAAACTAATCAAACAAATGTCAACCTTTCTAACTGCATTGTGTACATGAACGAATGTATTGATAACTGCATGACGGTACTGTATTGGTTGTTGTATTAAATCGCATACAATTGGTAATGCGAATGGTGCTTGATAATCCTGCCGATCCATATCCAAAGTATTGGTTAGCTCAACACCAACCTGAATTAGTCAAAATTTATTTATTTTTCCTGAAGCACTCACTGAAATATATTTCGTAACAATATTCCTGACAGAAACATTTCGTTATTCAATTTCAATTCTTTTTATTTCGATGAATTGATGCATTCATTCGATTCGAGAGATTCGCCTTCATTTATTGCTGAGGACTGTTTGTTTCACTCACAAAAGAGAAGCGGAATTTGAATCGATTATGTTACGTGCAGTGAATATAAGAATGTCAAACCTGATAAAGTGCTGAATCAGTCCAGTCACCGAACCAGTTCAGTACACATCTATTGAACAAGGCTGGCGAGGTGGATGCACGTTCTCGCAGACCCTCACCAGACGGATTCATTGTGAACACTACGTGCAAATTACGCATTACCTACAATTTGATAGCACTCAATGGCCCACCTTATTTGTGCGTTGCAGTCCAAATAAATTCGATATTCTTGAGCATTATTTTAAACTAATCAAGACGTCAACCCATCAAGAAAACATAACAGAAATGCCACTGATATTAAACAACTATCAAGTGGTGTGATAATGTTCATCCGAACAAAACAATTCATTTAACCTGCGCAGTGAACCATTTGTAAAGTTCATCGGGTGAATCAAGCATGAGTCCTTGTCGATGAGCGCCTTCTTTAATTTGACTCATCAGTGTCGTATACTCATCACCTTCGAATAAGCCAGGTACCTGCAATTCACAATCTCTAGACCATAAACAAAATCAACAGACACGAATGAACACAAACCTCTCCGTTAGCAAGAAGTGTGTTGAGCCTTTCCAAGAAACCTGTATCGAGCATATTTGATTCGTCCATAATGAAGCACATCTTTTCATTGCGACATCCTGCACGTCTTAATACCGTCCGCATATCTTCGTCAAAATCTGCTGCCGTATATTTAGAGTGTACTTTCAACTGCAATCAACTATATTATAACATCAAAATAAACAAGCACACAAAAACTCCATTGAATTTCACTGATCCAAGAGAAATAAACAAACGAATCAAAAAAAAATAAAACCTAACCTGGAAGACTGATAATCCATTCATCCATGCAACGAATCTCGATAAAGTGGTCTTTCCAGAACCGGATGTGCCAATCAAAAGTAAATGACCTTGTGGTTGTCGATAAATACGATCAATTCGAAGAACGTGATCAAGCATCTGATCAAACAACACCAACTGTACGTCCAACTCTTCCTCGTAAAAACCTTTCAATCGAGCTGCTACATATTCTTTCAACTGGTCCTTTGTGACTGGCAAATAATTCTTTGTTAACCTGAACATAACCCGAAATTAATAACAATTCATCTGCACGTTAAAATTTTCAAAACACTCGATATTTCCACAAATTTCAACGCTGGTACATTACATAAACACTGAACATTTCACAATTGTTTCTGCAAAATATTTTCTTACTGAGAACCGTTTGGAGTATGTCACCTTACGGTAGACGATAAATAAAAAGACGGAATGCTTTCTGGAAATCAGCTAGATAAAACGATGACAAAGTCAACAAACCAGCAGGAATAGAGCATTGGTCTTTCTAAAGCCTCTTTCAGATTGCATGAACCACTGAAATATTTCTCGGCCGTTTGATCCAACAATTCGTCAGTCCATTGTCGTTCATCGTCCTTCACAAGTCTGTCTTGGAACAACCGTAGTGCTTCATGCGCCCAGAGTCGTACAAGTGCCTCAGGACTAACCCCGTCTAACGGCGCAATCGCCTCACTAATGGCACGAACCCATCTCGTTAACTCACGAGGTGAATAGATGTAATGCGGCTGTTCATCTTGCGTGAAACGATCCTACAACATTAGATTATCTGTTTCATTATCATTTTGAAAACTCTCTTTCGGTTTGTCAATTTGAAATAATCAAACAAAATGATTTTCAGTAAAAGTAAAACTGAAAAATGCAATATACATTTCAAAGCAAAGAACCTGAGACTGCAAGTAGAAATCAACCATGGCACTTGTTAACGGCTCGGCTAAACCTCGAACGGATGGCGCCATTCTCAGCATAGCACGATTGAATGTTCCGTAGATTTGAATCAAAGACGTTTGCCCAGGATAATCAACGTAAACCACCGGAACGTGACGCAAGAAACGTAGTGTTAGCGGATGACGACCCGGATCTGTGGGTGGATTACATGCACCAACGAACTGAATACGCTCCAACGATACCCACGTATGATCGGAGACTCGATAGAAACCATTCTGAAGTTTTCGTTGATTAATAAGTATGAAAACATACATAAAGCATTGATTCGGTAACTGCATACGTCACGTAGCTGTCAGTTTAAAAAGATGTCTTTTCAAAGTTAAGAGCAGAAATTGAGATTGAATTAAAATTATTCGAAAAATGAATATTTTCGATAGAACCATATCATAAAGAAGACTGATAAGAAAATGTACCATTTCGACAAGTTGTCTGAGGAAGGAAATAACTCGCTGAGTGCCATATTTATCAGGGGCTGGCAAGTTGATTTCATCACAAAATATGACCAACCATCTTGAAAGTTGTACAGGCGATAGAACAACACCATTCGGTGTACGTCGATACTCACAATAATGATCGAATGTACGCATCAACAGCTCAGGCGTTGTAGATGAAGAGAAATTTACATTCACCACGTCCATATCCTGAAATCGATACGAAACATTGATGGTGCACAGATGCATTCACTGCATAAATTCTAACTGAAATGATAATTACAGTAATCACTTCATCATCAAATACAATATCCCGATACTGTATGTTGCAAACATGAAGAGAATAATGATAGAATGGTGGTTATAGAATGGATCTCATGAAACGAATAAAGAAGGAAACCTGTAACGATCGAAGTGCTGATAACAAAGTCATCGTTTTGCCAGAACCAGGTGGACCACATAGAACGAGTGGTTTATGCTCGGATAGCCATGTATTCAGTAACATCTCATGTCGAACCGTATCAATTGTTGGTACCACAATATCTGCAGCTGCAACGCGATGTGTTTCCACTTCCATTTGTGGCACCTTTGATACCCATTGCACCCATTCACCGGATAATGCTGCCTCGTAATCGATTATTGGTAACTACAAATTAACGAAGTGATTTGTCGATGCTCAAAATTAACGAACAATCTATTGCAAATAATAATAAGCTGGCGTGAAAGGAACGTTAAGAAAATATGCCTTGAAAAATGCAAAATCTATAATTGGGAATAATTGAGAATATAACAGCGATAACAGCAAACCGATGCATTCGGCGGTAACTGCAGTGTGGATGACTGTCTGACGAAATCACTCAGCTGCTGACGTGATTTCCATTTACTATCGCCGCTGAACGCCCACACAATATTCACCAACATTGCACGCAAAATGTACGCATCAATTTGTTCATCCTTAATTCACTCAACTTTCAGTACGATCTCACGATTTCATTAACTTCAAAATGAGTCATTCTTCTTTATTGCTTTCTAACTTTCGAGACAAACAAACCAAAACATGAATGATACTAACTGGCATCGGAAAGTCAGTGTGACTATTATCGTAGACGATTAACTGTCGAACTGCATAATTCATCATTGAGAAGAATGCGGACAGTAATCGTTGTTGTGTCGCTTCCATGATGTGATCCAATTCAGACAATGCATAATTTAACGTTAACGGTACCAGTGCATCTGCACTCATATGTTCACTCAATAGTGCTGCACATTTACGTTGCAATGCTAAAACTCGATCAGATTCTGGGGATGAATTCGTTGTGTCGTCACTATTCGTTACGTTCAGTGCCAATACATCCGCCTGAATCAATTTCACTTTATTTGCAACAATGGCATTAAGTCTNCTGCACTTTTATAAGAAGCACTCTATGATAATTGTCAAATCACACCATCGCCAACTAATTCTCGAATGACTCGCACATTAAACTGGAATCATTATGAAAAACAGAATGCAATACTATTACGGATACTTCAATCCTCCAAAACAATCCAGATGTGGTTACTTTCGAATTCTATTGCAGATTTTAACTGATATTCTGCGATGCAGCTGAATGATCCATAAAAGTGGTGGAAGCAATCAAAAGCAGAAGATGGATTTAAAAATGAGACCAACCGGCTGTTCAACATCAAGACGCACGTTCTTGAGACGTCTTAAGAAATTATCAAATAACATCTCACAAGTGACCACTTCTTCACTGAACCATACCATACCACATCGAGATACCGTCGCTAACGTAGCATATTTCAAATCGGACACTTCGAATATTATTCGAACCTTAATCAGTTCGGCACATTAATCACTCGAACGCATCAAATCAACAACTTTGTTCATCTGATCACATTTCAGTATTTTTATCCATATTGTGATATCCAAGTAGCGAACAATATATCGAGAAGCATTCAGAAAATGTGATTTGACATTTGAACAAATAAACGGACACATTAATGAGTCCGAAGTGTGATTTGATGCTAAAATCGCCATTGTGTTATAATTATAACAACTAATTACATTTGGTGGTATCGCGAGACGTTCTCCATTAGGCAAAGTAAGTAATTTGTTATCGTCAAGCACTGAATTCAAGTTTTCAACCCATTCAGGGTCAACATCACCATCGAATATAATCCACTGCCGTTTCGATGTCTCGCCTCGAACGTTATCAATTATTTTTCGAATGATATGTGTGAATAAGCCATCTGTCCATTCACGTGTATTCGGATCTAGCACTCCATATAATGCATCTTTGCTCATTGCCTTCAAAAGTATTACATTCATTCGTTATCATTTCTAGCGCGGTCATTCCAAGTCAGAATTATTAATTCCATTCTCTAATATTCACCACCTAGAATATAATCAGTTTTAAAGCATTCTAATTTATCACACAGTTGCATTTAACGAAGCTTAAATAATCGAAATATTGAAATGATAAGATGAGAGGAGCGATAAAGCAAAAAAACAAACGAGCCTTAGCATCGATAACATGCGCAACACCTTCAACGCCTTCTAAACGTTCAAGTGCCTTTAACAAAACTTTCCACGCGGTTGTCTTGCCACTTCCACTAGCACCAACCAACATCAAACCATGATTCAGATTCGTTATTTGATACAACTGTAACACTTTCTCAAGCCATACGCATCCAATCTCACCGCGTACCGATGACTGCGTCAATAACAATTGATCACACACTCTCGTGAGTTCGGCACGTAATCTGCAATTATTCGTTCACTTAATAAAATGATCAATAAAAAACGAATCAACAAAATAAAAAACGAACACACGCAAAATATTTCTCTTTCTATTGACAACAAATGTCATATAAATTACTAATCGAGCAATTCAATTTACTTTCGACAATTCAATCTAAATAAATTTCTTTAAGATGATTGAGATTGCTTAATTATAGTTAGAAACACTGAAAACGAAACAATCCAAATTCAAGAGCAGTAGGAAAGTGAACTAACTTGGCCATTTGATTTGGTTTATACTGTACAGATGGGAATACATCGGATAAAAGCGAGAACAACAACGCGATATCTTCAGAGATTAATTTCGGTACAAGTGTCTCACAAACGGATTGTATGAGAATCTGTTGTTCTGATACCTCACCGGAAATATCTTCATCATCCTGAAAGAAGAATTCATTAATCATCCGAACGTAATCAATCGAACAAAACGAAAAATGAAAAGGAAAACATAAAGTGCACATAAAATCTTCAGAATATGCAACACTTTTCACCTCCTCACTGTTCTCTTGTCGCTTTTGAATTTCATCTCGTTTAATATTACCGGCGCTAACCAACACATATTTCAGAGCACGCAAACCAAAATCATAATGGCATTGATCCGACAGCTGCTCTTTACATAATCTGAAATTGCTGTTTCGCTGCTCAAACAATTTTACTCATTGCACAAAAACAGAATCATAAACAGGGCTGAAAAATAGAGCAGAAAATACTTTAGCATATGCAAAAATGACAGAAACAAACATGAAGAGCGGCACAATTTTGTTGGAAAGTCTTTCGGCGGTCCGGAATCCTTGTGAGAATAACATGACTTGGGCGATTAATTGACGGTCTGGTTGAGTCATAGCCAACGATCGGAACAGCTAAACACGATATTTTAAAAAAAAACCTCGTTTGACTAGTTAGTTTGGCTGTAGAATTCAACGGAAAAGAACTGAAATATTCGACAAAGCCAAATGAGATAACGATTCATTTTCAAGCAGTTTTGTATAAAACATAATTCGATAATTTGAGATGCAAAAATAACAGACGGCTTATAGAGCGTTTGATTATGCCAATTCTATCGCTTTACGTATCCGATCGTGTTGCTTATTAGGTAGAGCTAATATTCTGCGCAAATGAATTTGAAAACGAAATTGGACTATTTGTTCAAGATCAAAAACGAATCTTTAATCACTAAATAGTCTCTTCAAAAGAAAACAAACAAATGATTTTATGATGAAATCAAAATTCTACGTTCAAATGACGTACTCTACGACATTAAAATACATTTGCAAATCAACTATACCTGTTTCAAGTTATCTGGTAGATTCGAACGACCCGAATAGCCAGGATTCATAGTGATGAATATAGCCATATTTGAGTTAACGGATAGCGTCTTTCCAACAAGATCAACCTTAACACATAAATGAAATTGCTCCGAGTTGCGAGAATTTGAAATACAAAAATAATAAAGAACATTTGTGAGCTGCATGCAAGATAAATGATACACAGCTAAGTTGAAATTGCTGCAAATGAATTAGTCGACCACACACACCTTCATATCTCCACCAGCACGCACCGCTTCCTGAATGGTTTGAATCTGCTGGCTGACTGCCGATAACATTCTTTCCTCCAAACGATTAAACTCATCGAAACAACCCCAAGCACCAACTTGACATAAACCAACCAATATACGTCCCATTGCCTGAACAAAGCATTTGTTGATAACTAAAATAATTAACTAAACTAAAGTAATACTACGTTCTAAAAACAATATTAGAACTATAGAGAGATGATTTTCCACTTCTTAATCCAAATCGAATCCGATCAAATAAACAACCTTCATTGCTGTAAGATGAGAATTAAATTTACCTGGAAGTCGAATGTTTCATCACAATTGAAAACGAGAACGAATCGACCGAGTTTGTGACCCAATGCTTTGACACTTTCTGTTTTACCCGTTCCCGCAGGTCCGAACGGACTACCTCCCAATCTAAAAACAATACAATATTTGATGAGTCTATAACGATTACTATACGGAAATTTTGAATTCAAAAGCATTTATAAAACCTTGAATGAAGTGCTTGTGTCATTGTTAAGTAGCACCGATCAGTTAGTGGTGTTTGCACAAGTTTTTCTTGTATACCGAGATATTCGAAACCGTATGGGAATT